GGAGAGGTGAAGAGGTATTGTCAGGCATGTGACATCTGCCAGAGAACGTCTCCCCAACGACCACCCCCCAGCCCTCTGATACCCTTACCCATCATCGATGTGCCCTTCAACCGCATTGGCATGGACTTGATAGGGCCTTTGCCGAAGTCAGCCCGGGGACATGAGCACATCCTTGTCATCCTCGACTACGCCACCAGATACCCTGAAGCGATTCCCCTGAGGAAAGCCACGTCATTGGCGATCGCGAAGGAGCTGTTTCTGCTATGCAGCCGAGTAGGAATACCAGCGGAGATACTGACCGACCAGGGCACCCCATTTATGTCCCGGTTGATGGCAGACCTCTGCCGCCTCCTCAAGGTAAAGCAAATAAAAACATCTGTTTACCATCCACAGACTGACGGCCTTGTAGAGAGGTTCAACAAGACGCTGAAGCAGATGCTCCGCCGGATGGTGGCAGAGGATGGGCGCGACTGGGACCTCATGATCCCATACGTGTTATTCGGAATCAGAGAGGTTCCACAGGTTTCACCCCCTTTGAACTGCTGTTTGGCCGCCAACCACGTGGGCTATTGGATGTGGCTCGTCAAGCCTGGGAGCAGGAGCCAGCCCCACAGCGGTCAGTAATTGAACATGTACGGGACATGAGAGGACGCATTGAAAAAGTCATGCCCATCGTCAAGCAACATCTGACCGAAGCCCAGCACGCCCAACAGAGATTATATAACCGGCCCGCCCAACCCAGAGAGTTCCACCCAGGGGACAAGGTGATGATCCTCATACCTACCACAACTTCAATGTTCCTGGCATCCTGGAAGGGACCATATACGGTGGTAGAAAGGGTAGGGCTGGTAAACTATCAAGTCCGTCAGCCGGGACGAAGAGAAGAACAACTGTACCATATCAACTTGATGAAGAAATGGGTTGCAGCTCCAGGTCATCTAGTTGCCTTCTTAGAAGAAACTTCTCCCGTCGTCCATATAGGTGAGCAACTCTCACCGAATCAGAAGGCGGAGCTGCAAGCCTTGGTCGGTCAGTTCAAGGATGTGTTCTCAGAGAAACCGGGCTGAACCACCATCATCCAGCACGACATCACCCCACCTGGCACCATCGTCCGGCAGAGGCCTTATCGAGTACCAGAAGCTCGCCGGCTGGCTATCAACGAGGAGATTCAAAAGATGAGAAAATTAGGAATCATCGAGCCATCCTGTAGCCCGTGGTCCAGCCCCATAGTGATGGTCCCCAAACCCGACGACACCCTCCGCTTCTGCAACGACTTCAGGAAGCTCAACGAAATTTCAAAGTTCAACGGGTACCCCATGCCTCGGGTGGACGAGCTGCTGGATAGGCTGGGTGGAGCCCTATTCATATCCACGATCGACCTCACCAAAGGCTACTGGCAGTTACCACTAAGTGAAAGCGCTAAGGAGAAAACCGCCTTCTCCACTCCCGGTGGGCACTGGCATTACCGGGTTCTTCCCTTCGGGCTCCACGGGGCCCCAGCCACATTCCAACGAATGATGGACATCCTGCTGAGGCCCCACCACCCGTATGCAGCAGCATACCTCGACGACCTGATCGTCCACTCCGAGTCATGGGAAGATCATCTATCCCGGTTGCGGAGGGTGCTCCTAGATCTTCGAAGGGATGGGCTCACAGCTAATCCCGAGAAATGCCACCTGGGTCTAGCAGAAGCCAAGTACCTCTGATTCCACATCGGAAGAGGTCTCATACAGCCACAACAAAGTAAGATCAAAGCACTACAAGAAACTCCACAACCCACCACAAAGACCCAGGTACGTGCATTTCTGGGGTTAGCGGGCTACTATAGATGTTTTATACCTAATTTCTCATCCATAGCCAGCCCTCTGACAGACCTGACCAGAAAGGGGCAGCCGGAGAGGATCCAATGGAACAGAAGCAGATGACGCGTTCCAAGCCCTGAAGACGGCCCTCACATCCTCACCGGTACTGCACGCACCTGACTTCGGCTGCCCCTTCATTCTACAGACAGATGCTTCCGACTCGGGCCTGGGCGCGGTCCTCTCCCAGGTCCACGGCGATGAACACCCCATCATGTACGTGAGTCGGAAGCTTACCCCTGCAGAGACTAGGTACGCAACGGTGGAGAAGGAGGCCCTGGCGATCAAGTGGGCAATCCTGGAGCTCCGGTATTATCTCCTTGGCAGGAAGTTTACCCTGGTGACCGACCACGCTCCCCTACAGTGGATGTCTACAGCGAAAAACAACAACGCTCGAGTCACCAGATGGTTCCTGTCGCTCCAGGATTATAACTTCACAGTACAACATCGAGCCGGGGCCTCCCACGGAAACGCTGACGGTCTCTCAAGGCTCTGGTCAGGATGGGCAGGTCTGTCAAAACATTCTACCCCCCCTCTCAATACTTTACCTTTCCTCCGCAGGAAACCCAGGACCAGGACGACGCTAAGGGGGGGGGAATGTAGCGAGCACACACATGCCACGTCGCCCTGGTCGCTAATCCAACCCAGCTGGACCATCATCAGCACCGGATCGCTCACAGCTGGACGTCATCAAGCGGAGAGGCATATAAGCCAAGCCCACGCAAGAGAAAGCGAGCTTCATTCAACTAATGACTCCCTGCGCTAATGCTTGTCTCTCGGTCTCTCCTCCACAGCAGACTCCAGCTCGTGACGATCCAACACCCGACTACTCACTGTCCTTCACCTACTTCCCGGAGTACCAGAGCACCTCACTTCTAAGAAGAGCACCGTATTCACAACCTACACTTTGTAAATAAAGCACCCTCCGGGGACTTGTCTGTAAACTCAACCAACTGTGTCAGTGTTTTCCCTCTGCCTCGCTATTTTATATATATATATATATATATATATATATTAGTGGAAAGATTGGTTAAACTAGATACAAAAAATTATCTTAGACAATGTTTGACTGCAATAATCTATTTCATTTTGAAATAAGCTATTGAGATGTGGTGGAATTGACATTTGTTCAGTTTACAATGGGAAAAAAATGTTTCTCTACTTATCTAAGTTTGTCCTCTTGATCAAAAAAAAAAAAAAAAGACAAATTAATTAAACTTATGAGACTGTTACATTAATTTTGAACAAGTTTTTTACTCCCGTAGTTGAAGAATTTTTTTTACGCCCATTGTTGAAGAATGACATGCAGGTAGCGTATGTTCCAAAAAAAAATTATATTGAGGAAAAGTCTGTTTATTTCAATAATTTGTAAAAAAAAAAAAAAAAAAAAAAAAAAAAAAAAAGTTAAACTTGTGTGTTATAGTACACTACACACAAAGTGAAATATTTCAAGCCTTCATTTGTTTCTATTTAATGATTATGGATTAAATATGGGAAAAAACGGAAATCCAGTATTTCACAAAATTAGAATATCATGACTTCAACATTATAGGCTCCCTGTTTCTCAATCTAGTCCGCTAATTAATGCAAAGCCTTGAAATTGTCTCAGTCTGGCTTAGGCTTCAGAATTATGGGGAAGACTTCTGACTTGACAGTTGTGTAGAAACCATCACTGGAACCCTCCATAAGGAGGACAGGTCTCAAAGGGCAATTTCAAAAGAAACTGGATTCTCGCGGAGTGCAGTATCTAAGTAATATAGATAAAATAGTGTTAAAAGGAACACGAGGTTTAAACGATAAATATACATTATTTAAATCGATGTACCGGACAGTCTCACGGGACTCTGGATGTCAAATTGCTCTCGAAGCGACGTGGTGACACGAAGCCCACGGGGGTGATTGAAATCGCTTGGTTTCCATGGTTACAGCCGTCAAATCATTGTAAATATCAATCAAGTCCAATCCAGTCGAGTCCAATCAAGAAGCAGTGTAGGCTATTAGTAATTATTGGTAAGTTTCCTTTTCTTCTCTATGCTTTTTCGTCCACAAATTGAAGTCAATATATGTTGAAGAGATGTAGGCCTACTTCAAAATAGTACAAGTAGCCTATGTTATGTTTAATTTAGCGTTACAGCCACATAATGCAAACTGAGTCAAAAGATGTCTCTTTTGGTGTCTGCAGATCACCAGTCATAAAGTTGATGTAACGTTACTCATGAATTTATTAACATGTTTGATTTACAGTTAAGGACAAATTCAGTATAGCCCTCCTGCGATATTTATTGTTTTTCAAATATTTCTCAAGTGATGTTTAATGGAGTCTTTCAGTGTTCCAGTATTCCAGCAGTTTTTCCGATCATTTTTGTTCAGAAAAAAGTCCTATTTGTTTTATTTTAACCGGAATAAAAGCATTTTCTAACGGCAAATATCATTAGCCACCTAGAGCAATAAAGAAAAATGTGCAATAATTGCCTTAAGCATTTTTAAGCCTTAAAAAAAATTACACTTTAAGCTAAATACGAGTGTCTTGAAAAAAAGCAAGGAAAACATTATGTACCAATTTGTCTTTGACCATTATCATTAAAATCAGCAGAGAGCATTATTATTATTATTATTATTATTGTTGTTGTTGTTGTTGTTGTTGTTGTTAATTGCTTTAAATCAACTTCTGAAACTAGTAATCATTTTAATATGAAGTTGAATTATTACCCCCCCACCCCCAATTTTTTTTCAACACATTTCTAATCATAATAGTTTTAACAACTCATTTCTAATCACTGATTCATTTTATCTTTGCCATGATGACAGTAAATAATATTTTACTAGATATTTTTCAAGACACTACTATACAGGATGAAGTGACATTTAAAGACTTAACTAGGTTAATTAGGTTTAGGCAGGTTAGGGTTGGCGAGTTATTGTATAATGATGGTTTGTTCTATAGACTCTCAAAAATATATAGCTTAAAGGGGCTAACAATTCTGACCTTATGTGGTTTTAAAAATGTAAAAATGCTTTTCATAGCTGAAATGTAAAAAGAAGAAATATTCTTCAGAAGAAAAATGTCCTTGAAAAATGTCCTTGCTCCGTTAAAGAACATTTTAGGAAATATGTAAAAAAAAAGAAAAGAAAAAAGAAAAAAAGGGGGGGAAAATCAAATGGGGGGCTAATAATTTTGACTTCAAATACGCTTATATTAAAAAGTCAATTCTATGTAATTACTTTGAATATGTACTTGAGATGACTAGATTATCCTTTGCAGCAATCACTCACAAAAGAAAAGAAGCTCTTTAGTGCTGTATAACTGGCATTGGTCACCTGAAGGAAGAAGTCAAAAACGTCATAAACCAGACAAAGAAAAGACTGCAGAACTTTTATGGACATCATGCACAATTCCACATTTACAGACAGCAGTTCACAGTCCACATTAAATTCTGACCCTGCAATTACAACAAAAGGACCAGAAGACAACTGCAATGCTATGGAGATCAACTTTAATGCAGACCCTAAAGACCTTAAGAATGACATCTTAACACTAAATAAGAAAGACAATAAAGTCATTCATAATTCAGGCTTTCATGACTGCAATCTAAGAGCTAAATTAACTCATAAATGTCCATTTGAGCCTTATTTAGAACAGTGCACACGATTGCAGAAAGAAAACCTAGAGGTTAAGAAAAAGCTTAAAAAGATGGAGAAGTATTCCAAGGATTGTGCGACAGAGCTGCAGAGATTTGTTAAGCGCTTTAAGGAGTTTAAAAGCATCAACAAAAACCTGGATTCAAAGAACAAACAACTTCTTATTAAAAACCAGCAAATGAGGCAAAGAATTACAGAGGTTTTAAACCAGAACAAACCTCAATCTGAACATCTAGAAAGAATCACCCAAAGCAAACAACTCGAGAAACAGCAACTTATAGAAGCAGCTGTGAAAAATGACTTAGAAGAACTTCCGATGAAAGAAGATTCAGCTAGAATTAAAGAGAGGAAGATCCTAACACAACTACAACAAGAAAACCTGATTCTACAAGAGAGACTGGAGCAGAAGTGTCAGGTGATGAAATATGCAGTCAGTAAAGCAGAAAGAGTTCAGACAGAGCTGGACGAAGTGGAAAGCTGTCTGCTCACTCTACAGACTGAGAGGAATCTACTGCGGCAGGAGGTAAAGAGGCTCCATGAGGAATATATCTGCCTTACTAACAGCATCTCACTGCAGATGAAGAGAAACAGCAACGGTTTCGGGAAAAGCTTCACAGTCTACAACAGCAAAGTCCACCTCTTAAGTGTGCTGAAGGTAAGCTCCGTGTAAACACAGCTGTAGTTGTATGACTAATTTGGGTGATAGTTGTTACTTATTTTATGTTTGCTTCCTTTTATTCTGAAAGGAGGACACACAACATAACGGATAGAGAAGAGAAGAGAAGAGAAGAGGAAGAGAAGAGAAGAGAAGAGAAGAGAAGAGAAGAGAAGAGAAGAGAAGAGAAGAGAAGAGAAGAGAAGAGAAGAGAAGAGAAAGATGAAATACAAAAACCTGAAAAAAAATATCTAGGAATGTTACTAGATGCTGTCTGTTTTTTCATGTAATTGAGTTTTGAGTATTTTTATTACATTTTTCATTATTATTATTATTATTATTATTATTAATAATAATAATAATAATAATAATATTCTTTTGAGTGTTTAATTTCTGGTAAAAAAGGTAATTACCAATATTCTGTGATTTAATATGTAGTCTGTTTATTGACGGTTTTACAAGTGTCATTTTTAATTTATTGTTGTTTATTATTATTATTGTTGATGATGTTGTTGTTTTTAGTATCATTACTTTGATTTATTATTTTCTGCTGGTAAAAAGTTATTTAACAATATTCTGTGTTTTAATATGCAGTCTGTTTTTTGTTACTTATTGTTGTTGATTTATGTTATTATTAACAATATTTTTTCTTTATGTTATTATTATTATTCAAAATGAACAATTACAACTGGTAAAAAAAATCATTCATTATTTTCTCTCAATAAATCTGCTTTTTGTGTATTGATTAGGATTTTTACTTGTGTTTTCTTTATATTTCACACAGCTAGACTTTTTGGTCTCAGTAAAAACAGACTATAATAACTTTTTTATTTATATTTACATGTAGATTTTAACTATTCATACTAAGATATATAACATTTTTAGCATATATATATATATATATATATATATATATATATATATATATATATATATATATATATATATATATATATATATATATATATATATATATATATATATATATATATATATATATATATACATATATATATAGCAGATATATAACAAGTTCAGCAAAACATTAATGGTTTACTTATGATACACAAATATTTTGGTAATTTCTAAAAAGGCAAAGTGCATATGTACATAATATATTTGCTCATTTTTTCCCACCCATTGAATGCATTTTTAATAGTGTATATAGACCATTTTCAGTGATGCAAACAAAAATAGTGGTCTCAACGTATTTCCTGTTTTACATTTTACATTCTATATCTTCCGAGAATACAAAAAAGCCACATATTGATAAATAATGTTATGACAGCTGTTATAACATTAAGTTATGATTAAATTGCCTCTTGTTACAGTTATGAAATAGTTTAATAACAAGCAGGAAATGTTCATGTCCAATGACGTGACCACATCGAAATGGTCTATATGAATTGTTTTTGTGGATTTCGAACATTAATATGTCGAGCAGCCACAATCAGGTCAGCAGGGGGCAGCAAAAGATTGCATTTTCCCTGTGACGCGACAAGAAGACGAGGAAGACGTGGACGTGTGTTATGATACGTCATCGAAAATGGCAGCCTCCTCTTGACAGCAGCTAAGTGTGATCATAGATCGAGGCAATTATAATGGTATTATACTGTTTTAAAGCTATTAGTTCATAGAAAGCTATTAGTTCATATCTCATTTCGTTTAAAAGGATACGTTAGTTGAATACGGTGTTGATATAATTTGAATTAGTCTGAGGGCATATGCTTCTGAGAGAATACAAATCATTGTAATTAAACACACGAAATGTGACTTCGGTTATTTTTCTGTGGTTTAAAATGGTTATTTCTGTTTTAAAACTTTGATCTGTTTTAATTGTAGGTTTATTTAGAGGAGTGCAATATTATATTCCGCGTGAAGGGGATCTTGGAGTTTGCTTGTCAACTTGACAATCCAAATGGTGAAGTTCATATTGTTTTATTAAAGCAGATAAAGACATTAATCTTTTTGTTTTTTTATGTAATTTATCTAAAACTAACAATGAATTACTGTTATGAATAAGACATCTCTCTGTTATTTTGTTATTATTTATTATTTATTTTCTTTTTTTGCAGGAGCTCAAAGTGGTAACACCATATCAAAAAGTTTTCAGAATCTCAGATCAAAAGTATCATCCAAAAACATTGTTTTCACTGTCTGTAACAGTCCGATATTAATATGGCCTAACATGGGTTTCCAGTCCAGCGTGGAAGGTTTGACACAAGCTTCAGCATGTGGAGACATTTTGCAGTACATAGAGTAAGAATTCTTACATATTCCAAGTATATTCTTTATTCATTGTGTTTTATAAGGATATTAAGATTGTTTCTTGTTGCTTTTCATAGATCAGATGATGGTGGAAACAAGAAGTCATCAAAAAAGAAAGATAAGAAAAAATCTGGACCTGTGAGAACCTTTTCCCTGGTTATTTAAAGCATTGTGACCGTTAACTTTTGTAACATTAACTATCTACTGCCTGTGTTTCTGTAGATTGTAGTGAATCTGAAGCTGTTGTTTGAGGTCACTGATCCTGCTGGGAATGAAGCTCCTAGTCTGATGCGAATGAGCGCACAGCAGCACAGTGTGAAGATGCCACTGCCTTTAGACTGTGTTCTGTCTGTGAGTGCTGATGAGAGCATGACAACGTGAGTGACCTTTTTTCCCTTAAAGGTCCCTTGAAGTTCTTTGAAATGTGCATTTTTTTTTAATTAGACGCTTGATGTAATCGCAACTGAAAAAGGAAGAAAGGGTGGGACATAGAGTAGCTCCTCCTCTTTTAAAAAAACTTTTTCATTTTTACTAAAACATACTAGTTTAACATTTAACATACTAGACACCGCAGGTGAATTGTGTAAAATAATTATCTGAGAGTTATCACCATATTTCTGTAGTTTAAAAATTGTGTTAAAAATTGCGAACATTTTTTATATTACGAGTGTAACCTAGCGGTCTTACTGCACCCAACCTGGTCTGAGCTTGGATTGAACCGGCGATTCTTTGCATGGGAGTTGGTTGCTCTAACAAGGAGGCTAAAGGCCATGGTCTCTAGCATCTGTTGCTAGAGCACCTTTGGAGATCAGGGGAGTGACGTTTACCTGCATAGCACTTCGCTAGCTGGCCTCCATTACACTCACCCACCTAAACCTCACTCCCATCCCAGATGAGCCCCCACATGTAACCCACCAGTGCTATTGCACCCAGCCCGATCTGAGCTGGGATCGAACTGGCGATTCTTTGCATGGGAGTTGGTTGCTCTAACAAGGAGGCTAAAGGCCATGGCCTTCAGCGCTTGTCACTAGAGCACCTTTAGAGATCAGGGAAATGAGGTTTACCTGCATAGCACTTTGTTAGCTGGCCTCCATTACACAAATTTTGTAAAATGTTTAATGTTTTAATATTCTAAAAAGCTTTATTTTATTGAATGTGTCTATTTGCTTGTATGTCTAGCTCAGAAATCTTAACATGGAATTAAATCAGTTTCAAACTGTTGTTTCTTTTCTCTTTTTGAAATAGAGTCAGATTTTTACAGATTAGATTTTGGGAGCTTCTTTTTTAATCTCTCCATAATAAAAAAATGCAGTTAATAGAGGAAGAAAACAGTTTTTTTAGAATAAAGTTTATATAATCAAGCAAATTATGTATAAACTAATCTCTTACTAAAAAAAACCTTTAGAATATAGATATGAACAAAACTGTGAATTATGAGAGATTTCTGGCTCGGTGCAGGAGAAAATAAAACATTTCTGAAAAATGTATTTGACATCTACAAAACAAATTGATAAAATGCAAGAAAAATAAATATTTAGAATTTTACTTTTTGGACATTTTCTCTATAATATAATGACAAAACACTTTATGAAAAGTCAAAAAGCCCAAAATCTCACAATTGACAGGTGAATCATTTGCCTGCAGCTGTTTTTCTTTATAAAACCTGTAAAGAAGTATTCTTTTATTGATAAGATTTAAATAAATCCATGTTTTGAAGTACAGTAGATTGATTTGTAAACTGTTTGGTGAAAATACTATTTTAATAAGGGTGTCACGGTGGCGCAGTGGGTAGCATGATCGCCTCACAGCAAGTAGGTCGCTGGTTCGACTCTCGGCTGGGTCAGTTGGCATTTCTGTGTGGAGTTTGCATGGACTCCCTGTTTTGGCAGGGGTTTCCTCTGGGTGCTCCAGTTTCCCCCACAGTCCAAAGACATGTGGTATAGGTGATTTGGATAGGCTAAATTGTCCATAGTGTACTGTATGTGTGTGAATGAGTGTGTATGGATGGTTCCCAGTGATGGGTTGCAGCTGGAAGGGCATCCGCTGTGTAAAACATATGCTGGATAAGTTGACGGTTCATTCAGCTGTGGCGACCCCAGAATGATAAAGGGACTAAGCCGAAAAGAAAATGAATGAATAAATGAATGCAAATTTTAATAAGCAACTAGCAGTGGACAATTTGCATTGAAGCTGTTGTGAAATATATTTCTACTAATGACATTTTTTTTGGTCACAGTCTCTTTTTTTAATGACACTTTTGTGTGTGTGTGCGTGTGCGTGTGTGTGTCTGTCTCTGTGATTATTTAGTGTCTTTACAGGTCTGGTGGAGGCATTAAATAAGCAGATAGCAGATATGGAGGAGGTGGTCCTCCGGTATAGGAAGGGCTCCTCGTTCCTGGTGCCACAGCCATTTCACTTTCAGCTGCCTAAACCAGCTGGACTCACCACTGTGATCTACCCTGCAGGAGTGCCAGACAGTCAGCTACAGGCTGTCAGAGAGGCAAGTTATGCGCAGATTCAGATTATTTTATGGAAGAAAAGAAATTGAATAGAAAATATTATATATAAAGTCAACAGAATAGAGAATAGACAAAGTCGTGATTGTTATTTTTAATACATGTACCATGATCAGCATATATTAGTACACCAGTCACAAATCATTGATGAATCATCATTTAAATTAATAGTTTCTATAGGATGCTTTACAATATTATATTTGTGGATATATATTAGTGTAGTCAGAACTGAAGCCATATCTGATCTAATCTTACAAAATAAACTTACCACAACAGTCCAAAAATTAACAGCCTAAATTTATATGTTAGGGAAAAAATCAAATAGAAATTTTAAAAAGAGCAAAAATCAACAGAAACAAAAATTATAGAAAATTATGATGAAATTTAGTAGCTTGTAATTTTTTTTTTTTTTGCAGTATTTTTCATGAATTTATATGTATTATCTTGCACCAAATGCAAATTATCAGTCGACCAAAATATATTACCTATATTCACTGAAAAATTGATAAAAATATTCATTTTCAAAATGTGGTGTACTCATTTATGCTGAGCAGTGTACATATATTGGATATGTATTAGGGCTAGGCAATTAATCGTAAATATTTAAAAATTCACAACCTATAACCAACATAATTTCCTCCTGCTG